AAACGTAACACATTGCAACTGGAATAAACATTGTATAATAAATATTGGAATAATAACAATGCGTCGCGCAAGCAATAGTGCCCGCTCAGGCGGGCACCATTGTTTCATAGTACCTGCGACGTTATCCAATGGAATTTCAACGATTTATCATGTGATGCACTAATTCTCATTCTTCTTCTTCTTCTTCTTCTTCTTCTTCTTCTTCTTCTTCTTCTTCTTCTTCTTCTCGTTTTCTTCTTTTTCTTCTGTTTCTTTTTCTTTTTCTTCCTTTTCTTCTTTTTCATGTTAGTGTATTACATGATTTAATAATGCGTATATGTGTTTGTCAATGTCTACTTGCATTCATACACGCGCGCGTGCGCGAGTTTTAGGGGGGATCAGGAATTGCATTCCTTCATAGGTCGAATCTTAGGAATCTACCTTAGGAACGTATCTCCAGGTATATAGTGATAGTCTGCGCGATAACATGAGATTCGTTACGGTATTCCGGAGATATCATGGAACGAATTACCTTTGTAACGTTGGGTATTCATGTAACGCAATAGCTAAACCATGCCATCGTATCGTCTAGCATGTTGTAGAGCATGTGTAACATGTGTTCCCAGGTCTCTATATGCCTCACTTGACCCAGCTGTTGACCCTATTTGTACTTCCTCTCTGCTCATCCCAAAAATACCATGTAGCGTGTATCGAGTTTGTCCAAACTAAAGCGGTGTTAGTGGGAACTAGTAAATAAAAGTAAATGGCATTGCTAAGCTAGCCCTCATTGTAGGAAATGTTTGCATTAGTGCCTCCCCATTCCATAATATTTCCTCTAATATCTCTGATTAAACCGAAGAAAACACAGAAGCCTTGCATTAAATAAACTAAAACTCGATCCCGCTGTAGATGTATTATAGATGTATTAAATAATAGTAGGAATAGATGTATTAAATGTAGATGTATTAAATAATAGTAGGAATAGATGTATTAAATGTAGATGTATTATAGATGTATTAATAGTAGGAATAGATGTATTAAATGTAGATGTAGATGTATTAAATGTAGATTTATAATAAGTATTAATAATATTATAGATGTATTAATAGTAGGAATAGATGTATTAAA